GAGAAAGGAGTGGCTACCAGTGCTGATTACGCATCAGGTAATATTAATGCAGTGATGTTACATTTCCTGAATTTGGTAGTTATGCAGGACTGTGTAGAAGAATACCCTTTCCCTAGGAGACTTGCACTTTGTGTGTGTGTGCAGAAAGAGAAAAAGCAGATGATGCTAATATTGGGGAGAATTTAGGTGAAAGACTACGGGAAGTCACTGAACTGAACTATATTAATGACCGAAACATTTTTTCAAAAAAGATTTTTAAAAAGATAAAACAACAGTTCTTAGTTTTATTGTAGCATACTTATTGTATTTTCTGCCAAAAAGATAAATCTAAATGCTTGAGCCTCTGGCATATAGCGTAAGTGTTAGCCTTCAAATTACCTAAGAAGCAAAAGTTTGGACAAATGCAGAAGCTTGCAACCACGTTTATTAGAAAAATACCATCACTTGGAAATTCATTTCTTTAAAGGCTGAAGATTTGCTCCAGGGCACTGTTCTGTTTCCATCAAATTCCCCTTCACCTGTCAGGAGTCCCAGCTCCCTTGATGCTCACAGGCTAAGGGATGGCCCAGTGTCACCACCAATCCAACCGGCAGCACTGTGAACCCAGCCTAGTCTTTCCACGCAGATGGTTCCGGAGACAACCCAGCTGGGAAACGAGACCCCAGACCTCCGCAGCAGCCAGGACAGCAATCCAGTTTGCCTGTGGGAGCTTGTGTCTCATCTTTTCTTCACAAACTTCTTTCTGGAAGCATTGGGATTTAAGCGTCTTCTCCCAGCTCCCAAAGTGCTATCCCGGACCTGCAGGGTAGCTGACCGGCTGGAGATGTCATTCTCTGCGAAGGGAGAAACCCCTGCTGTGTAGTCAGGGGCAAATACATTGGTTTTCTGCCTGGCCTTGCGGGAGAGTCGCAGCTGAGGGAAGCGCTGATCCTCAGTCAGATGGGGGTTGATGGCATATTTGCCCCCTTTGGGAGTAGGAAGTGAGTACTGCAAAGAGGAGGAAAGGCCTTTAGAACAGGATCCCCAGTCAGCACGCCGCAACAATGGACAGGAACCTCCTGCCTACTGCGCGCTTGGTCCTCACCCAACTCACAGATGAGAAACCAACCCGATATTGACCTTCAGCTGAGGACAAGACATAGGTAGTAATGGATCACAGCCTACATAAAGTAAAAATCCATGAGATCATATTCATATAAATAAGTAAAAGGGGCTCAGGGCCTGTGGCTCAAGTGGCTAAGGCACCAGCCGCATACACCTAAGGTGGCGGGTTTGAATCCAGCCCTGGCCCGCCAAAACAACAATGATGGCTGCAACCAAAAAATAGCCA